GTGGGCGGCAGCGTCGGCGTCAGCGAAGTGAGGACGCGGAAGATGATGGCGGCGGCATCGACGGAGAGGACGTTCACATTGGACGTGGCCGCCGCGCGCGCGAGGTTCGTCGCCGAGCCGGGCAGCAGCTTCTCGCGAAGGTACGACGCGCAGGCGCGCACAAAGGCGTGCTCCGGGTCGCGGCGCAGGCACGAGTGCAGCCACGGCTCGAAGTCGATGAGCTCCTTGCGCTGCGCGCACGCGGCGAGGTCGATGGTGAACGAGTATGCGCCGAGCGTGAGAACCTTCTCGAGCGCGTTGAAGGACGTCGCCAGGTCGAGCAGCCGCAGGATGGACTGCGGCTGCGCGCGGTGCAGCGCCGCCATCCCGCGCATCACCGCGTATGGTTGCGCCTCCCACAGCCGCTGCAGCAGCGCGGCCGACCCGGGCGAGTCGCCGCCGAGGAAGAGCGGGAAGAGGCCGTCGAGCAGCTCCCGCTGCAGCGGCGCCTCGTCCGCCGCGCCCGCGCGCGCGCCGCTGTGCGTCAGCAGCGCCGCGAGCAGCAGCTGCGGCGCCGCGGAGAGCGGCGCCGCGAAGAGCGCGCGCGCCTCGGCGTGGTAGCCGGACGCCGAGAGGTGGAGCAGCGACTCGGTCAGCCGGAGCGAGAGCCACGGCGCGATGCCGGGCTTGCTCGTCCCGTCGGGCGCGGGCGAGACCAGCGGCGCGGCGGCGTCGCCCCACGCGACCGCGTCGGCGGCCGCGCCGACCGCGTGCGCGAGCAGCCGCAGCTGCGCGCCCGAGTGCGTCCAGCCGCCGAGCAGCGCTCCGGCGGGGAGCGGTCCGCTGCACGCGCGGCGGTGCAGCGCGACGAGCAGCGCGAAGCCGTCCGCGCCGGGCCCATTGGTGGCCCACGTCGGCTGGTCGAGCGCCTCGAAGACGCCGCCCCACCGCAGCGACGGCAGTGCCTCGCTAACGCCGCCGACAAACGCCTCGACGCCCCACGCCGTGAGCGCCTGCGCGT